GTTATCTTAGTAAGATAACCGGGTATTAGTGATTTTGTTACTGACGAATTTTTTGTTATTTTGTGTAAAAGGATTTATGTTTTTACTTTGTAACACCTATTTAGTTATTTAACATAATTACAAAATTACAATAACTTACTGTAATTACAATTTATATATAGGAATGATAATGTAATTAAATCTGAACTATTATTTTTCCTAGATTCTGGTCAGTAGCCAATAATGTCGAATTTGCATACCCTAGGACTCAAAATTCAGTTGAAGCATAGTACAGGCAATAGAAGACATTAGTAAGCTCTGCTCATGTTGGTGTTTTTAGAATAATCAAAAAACTACAGAAAGAACAGAACCAAATTGAGCTTAATATTGAAGCAATCTTAAGAGGCATGCCAAAACCAGCACAAAGGTAACAAACTATTAAATATGAACAACACATTCAATCAATATTTAATGATTATGACAATAGAACACTTATGAAATTTCTGCGTAGAATTGCCCATAATATTTCTTTGTAGAATTTTTTTTTTTAATTCTACTTTTTTTTTTTATATAATTTGTTATTAGGGGTTTTTTTTTTATTATTTTATTTTATCATTTTATTCTATTCATATGATTTTACATAAATAAAAATTTTATTTTTACTATTTGTATTCTTACTGGTTATTAAAAATATACGTATATACTATATTAGCCAAAATACATATATTGCACTTAATTAAACTTATTTTATAACTTATTAAGATGTGCAATGATAATATGGTATTAAGCTCAGATTTGTTAAAAGTTAATTTTAGAATAGGATATATATATAAAATAATATCTACCTATTTTTTGTGTTGCATAACTTTATAGTAATAAAATAAATTTTACTTATTTATTTTTCCTTAAAATAAAATCAATAAATACTATTTTCTCTAATATATTATAATAAAATTAATTAACCAGTAACAATAAATAAAATAATTTATATAAAATCTTCTAACATAATTTAATCAATATAAAATAATAACTAAAATCTACTTGTAAATAACTATATAATTTTAATTCTTTATTTGCAGCTGTTCTTATAAATTCTGAGACAACTAATAAAAATTGATGCTGATTTTAATAAGTTTTTTTTTATTGCCCGATAAAAAAAAGCTTATCGAAATCAGCATCAATTTTTTTCCAGTTGTCTCAGAATTTATAGAATAGCTGTAATACTAATTCTGTCTTTTTTTCAAAAATTCAGATTAGTTCTTCACGTACTAGTAAATTAGATCAAGTATCATATCACTTTTTTTTTCTTTGAATAAATAATTTGATTTTTTGCTAAATATTAATTCTGTCTCTTCTTTTTTTTTTACAAATTCAGATCAGGTCTTCACATACCAGTAAATTAGATCAAGTATCACATTGCTTTTTTTTCTTTGCATAAATAATTTGGTTCTTTGCTCAATATTAATTCTTTTTTTTTTTTTCATAAATTCAGATCAAGTTTTCACATACCAATAAATTAGGTCAAGTATTGCATAACTTTTTTTTTCTTTGCATAAATAATTTGGTTCATCACTCAATATAATTCATTCTCTTACTTTTTTTTTCACAAATTTGGATCAGGTCTTCGCATATTAGTAAATTAGATCAAGTATCACATCACTTTTTTTTTCTTTGCATAAATAATTTGGCTCTTCACTCAATATTAATTCTGCCTCTATTTTTTTTTACAAATTCAAATTAAGACTTTATATAACAATAAATTTGGTTAAGTAGCTTATTGCTTTTTTTTTATGCATAAATAATTTGGTTCTTTGCTCAATTATTATTCTGTTTCTTCTTTTTTTTCACAAATTTGGATCAGATCATTATGTAATAATAAATTAGGTCAAGTATCACATTGCTTTTTTTTTTATTTGCATAAATAATTTGGTTCTTTACTCAATATTAATTCTGTCTCTTTTTTTTTTTTTACAAATTCGCATCAGGTCTTTGCATAATGATAAATTTGGTCAAATATAGCATTGCTTTTTTTTTTGCATAAATAATTTGGTTCTTCACTCAATATTAATTCTGTCTCTTTTTTTACAAATTCAGATCAGGTCTTCATATAACGATAAATTTGGTCAAGTATCACATTGTATTTTTTCTTTGCATATATAATTTTGTTCTTCACTCAATATTTATTCTGCTTCTTCTTTTTTTTTCACAAATTTGGATCAAGTCTTCATATATCAGTAAATTTGATCAAGTATCACATTGTTTTTTCTTTTCTTTGAAAAAATAATTTGGTTCTTCATTTATGTAACGATAAATTTAGTCAAATATTGTGTTGCATTTTTTCTTTGCATAAATAATTTGGTTCTTCACTCAATTGTAATTTTGTTTCTTTTTTTTTTTTTACAAATTCAGATTAGGTCATCATATAATGATAAATTAGATTAAGAATCACATTGATTTTTTTTTTATTTAATAAATAATTTGTTTCTTCACTCAATATTAATTCTGTCTCTTCTTTTTTTTTCACAAATTCAAATCAGGTCTTCATATACCAATAAATTAGGTCAAATATCGCATTGCTTTTTTTTTCTTTGCATAAATAATTTGGTTCATTGCTCAATTTAATTCAGTCTCTTTTTTTTTCACAAATTCAGATCAAGTCTTTGCATAATAATAAATTTGGTCAAGTATCACATTGCTTTTTTCTTTGCATAAATAATTTGGTTTTTCACTTAATATTTTTTTAACTTCTTTTTTTTCACAAATTCAAATCAAGTCTTTGCATAATGATAAATTTGATCAAGTATTGCATTGCTTTTTCTTTGCATAATTTGGTTCTTTGTTTTTTTTTGATGTTAAGGTAAGGCCTTGCTCATATTTTTATTAATAATTTTAACTGTATATTTTAGTACAGAAGTACTAAAATAAACTAAGGTTGTTTGTAACAAAAAAATTACATGCAAGAATGAGAGCTCAGACTAGTTTATCTGCAACTTAAACCAACTATAGTGGTCAAGGCCCACCTAGATTTGGAGTGTTAGTATATAGTTAGAGAAAATATTATATTTAATCCAGAGAATTGACCATATGTTAATTTTTCTAATTACTTGACTGATTGGTGAACATATATTGGATTGTAAATAAAGTTGATCTGCAATGCCACATAGGCATGAGTATGTGTAAGCTTGGCATTATTGTTTTGAGACTCTATAATTTAAATGTTGTATATTAGTATTACTAGCATTATTTTGGTATCTTGATAAAATTTGGTTATATTTTTTTCAATTAGAAAATTCAATGCAGTATGGTTTTCAAATTAGTTCATAGATTTGTTCATTAATATGTAGAAGTGTTTGAATTACTATTTGTGAAGCTAATTGTAAAGGTATATTAAAGTTGTGAATGACTTTAATAAGTAATTTAGGTATAAGTTCTTTAAGTATAATGTCTATAAAATGTAGATTGTGTTGAAATGATATGCAATCAAAGTATAGGTAATGGCATATATTAGAACCTAGTTCGTAAAGTTGAGAAGGTGATAGGTCCAGTTCACTCTTGAAAAGTATTTGGTTAACAGATGTATGAATAATATTAAAAAGAGTATTATATGTGTTAGAGCACATGTGCCAGTGTGTAGATAAGTTAGGAAGATTGCATTTGAAGCAATTAGTGTTGGTAAAGATATAAGAATATCTGTTATGAAGAAAGAATTAAGTAGATAACTCATTTAGTAAAAATTTAGATTTAAAAGCTTTGAGTTAATTAAGTTTAAAATTTGTATGAAAAGATATAGGTTTTTGGTTATAATTAAGATAAAGCCAAGAGGAGTTCCAGTCTATGAGGTAGTTTAGATGACCATTCACTGTTTCTTTTTTGTGAAGACTACATTGCTAGTATATATGCTTTGCATATATTTTTAATAAAATATCTAGTTGGTAGTTCAATGAAGTTTTGTTCCCATTAAAGAATATGATAAGAATTATAGATATTAGTATAATTAAAGATGAGAGGTTGAAGAAGTATATATTGTTTTGCTAAGGAGTCAGCAAGGTTGTTGAAAGGATTATCAGTATGGGCTTGAACTTTGTAAAAGGTAATTTGAAAGTTAAAGGATTTAATAATATTAAATAAGATATGCCATAAGGGCCATATACTAAACTTAAATAACTTGTTAGGGTTTTGTAATTGGTTCGATAGTGTGTAAAATTTTGAAATAACAGATTGTGAGTCTGTATATATGCTAATAGATGAATTGCGAGGTGTAGTAGAAATTGCAGATATAATTGAGACTAATTCAGCTTTATAGGATAATGGCCATAAATAGACTTGAGCTGAAAATTTATGGATAATTTATTTTGTTCATTAATTTGGACCCATCTAATACCCATTGAGCATTGTTCTAATCCAATATTAATCACAGAACCATTAGTGTAAAAAGTAAAGTTATTATTTGTAGAATTAAATAAATAAATGACTTGAAGCTCATAAGTGCAGCTGTTTGGTTTAAAGATTTCTAAGATGCTAGAGTTGTGTATAATAATATCGGAAGGTAAAGAAGATATGTATAAAGGATGTTTAATAGCTGTTGAGTATATAAGGTCAATGTAATTGGCATTGAGTTTAAGATTGTTAGAGGCTTTTCTAGCTAGGAATGTTGCAAAAATAATTGCTGATGTGTTAATAGTACATATTTGGTTAATTTTGTTTGAATTAAGATGACATCCTGTACATGGTTTGCATTCAATAGGTGGGAGTGGATAATATTAATCATAATCTAAATTGATATTAGATTTCTAATGTGTAATTGAGAATGAGTTAGAGGCAGAAATGTATTTAAGAATTTTGCCAATAATGATTTCTTCATTATTGGAATGATAAGTAAGAAGCCAAGGTTTTTGTTTTTTGGCAATAGGATATGTATTGTATGCAAAAGGGTTAGTACCAGGTGATTGGAAGTGAGATAAGATAGTTCTGTGATATTTATTTGATATGATTTTGTTTTCAAGAGAGGTAAACCATAAAGGTTGTTTTCCTTTTATTAGTTGGCATAGTCTTGATGAAAGATGTTGCCATTTAAGTAAAGTACTGTTATCAGCAATACATAGTTGCTCTAAGTAAAGGATATTAAGTTTTTGTAATTGTTTTTTAAAGGTAATGTATTTTGAATGTTGTATAAGTATAGGTTCAATTGGTTGACATGCATTATGTATAATATTTGGCCATAATATATTGTGATGAGCCAAGATTGTAATATTGAGATATTGAAGCAACTGAATAATTTTAAAATTAAGGATGAGTTGTTGTATCCATCAATAATAGGTTGGTTATGTTGAAGAATATTAGTAGTAGACCATATATTATTTTAAAGTTATTGTAGCCTAATTTTAGTTGTTGTGCCAAAAATATTAGAATCATTAATCTGTTATTGAA